GGAGGTCACCAAATCCAATCCCATGCCCTTTTAATAATTCCCACAGGAGTCAGGGTCTGGCTGGCTGGCCTTTACAGTGACCTCACTGCCCAGAGACCACACCCAGCAGTGCCAAAGCCAAAAGTAATACAGCCACAGTGCCAGGCCCTCAAGGGATTTAAGCAGAAAGGGCAGACCATCTGTCCTGAGACAACTGGATTGCTATTTAACTAGATAAGAAAAACTGGAATTTCCAGGTGGATGTGGATTCAAGCAGAATTCCAGTCTCTGCTCCGTATCAGGAGTAAGAAGAGAACAAGGGGTAGGAGGCACTCACTAGGTAAACAGCAGTGGAGAAATCGCCATGTTTGTTTGACCACAAGATGACTGGGCCCCTTTCACACACAACCAGAGCCCAGCTGAAACCTCAAAGTCTAGAAAGCCCCTAGGGCAGAAGGCAGGAAGGACTGAGACTGCCTTGGCATTATCTGTCCCATCATTTCCAACCCATAAATTAGTTAAGTCCCAGCCTGGGAATCCCTACCCTGCTGCTACTCAAAGACCATAATACCCAGCCATATGGCTGCTGATGTATCATTATAGTCATTATTAAGCAGCAAGTTAAAGATTACCCAGCAGAGCTAATGTGAGGCTTTAGAAATTAGAGAAACACTTTCACACAATCAAATAAAAACCAGGTCTAGAGAACTTTGATACCAATTCTGGGTTTCTGAACAAGAAGAGAAAGAAAGTAAGAAGAAACAAAAGAAAGGAGGATTGGGAGAGGGAGAGCCTAAACACACACACACACACACACACACACACACACAGAGTTTCCCTAAATGACATCAGCACAGTTTAATTATACCTCCTCTGCCTAAATTGTGAGTTCCTAAAGAGGAGGTATTTTGTCATCTTCCTCTTTGTAGCTCTAGTGCCCAGCACAGGACAGACATGTTGTCCAAATTGAATGAATAAAGTTACTAGATGCCCTAGCCATCAAGGACATCCAGGCAAGTTGCTACCATAGAAGACCTTGAAGATGGACCCATAAACACAACTAGCAGGGATCTTCCCAAACTCTAGGCCACATCAGGCTGCCCTGAGCCTCTGTACTAGGTGCCTACTGGGAAATATTCTCAAGAAAGAGCACTGGACTGGGACGCAGGAGACCCAGGGTTCGAGCCCCAGCCAGCCACTCTCTGGCTGTGTGTGCTGAGGCAGGACCTCCACCCCCCCACCCCACCCATCCCCACCCACCAGCACAATGAGGGATGGGGGCCAGGGGACTGATCAGTCCCATCCTGGAATGGTAAGGTTCCAAGACACTGCAGCGGTTTGAATCCAATCCCATATTTGGCTCTTGCTCCCTTTGCCCCAAGGAACTTCCACCAGGGTTCATCAGCTGAAGGCTCCCACACTTGCTCAGAGTCTGGGAGGAATTACAACAGGTAGGAATCACTCCTACCAACATCGGAAATCCAGATAGCCATGGAGGATATTTCTCAATCTCAGCCTGTTGGACAAGAAGGCGTGTGTGTGTGCACATCAATAAATATTTTCCTCCAGAAAAAGCAACAGGACAAAACAGGTTCAAAGGTCTAGTTATCTAACTTCCCAAAGCTTAAAGATCTGGACACAGGGGAGGCTCCTTGTGCTTTCCCCAATGCCTAGGATGAGGCTCCACCCCAAGCTGGAAAGTAATGAGGTTCTAAGACTCACCTCCAAAGGGGAAAGAGAGCCCTTTCCCAAGCAGAGGCGAGGACAGATGTCCCCAAAGTACACACTGTCCTGGACAGATGTCCCCAAAGTACACACTGTCCACGTGTGTGCATATGAGGGAAGGGGGCAGGGAGGGGTAGCATGCTGGCAGAGAAACACCTGAGAGCTCAGAGCCCTCAGTGCTTTGTCTTCACAAGGGCACAAACCAAGGCAGAGACTCAGCTGACAGCCCCCACAAAAGCCCCCACATGGAAACTGGCTCGTGGACAACTGGCTCCCAGGGCTCTGACTACCTGCGGCTGCTATTTGCTGGCCCAGGTGCCCATGACTCTCTGGTGCCCACCTCTAGATCAGAGTCTTCTTTTGAACAAATGAAGAGGATCTCCTCATAGCAGAGCTGGGCAAGAGTGGTCTCTGGGGTTTAAACAGTCCTGTACTCACCACTGCCTCCTGCCCCACGCACCACAACCTTTGAGAGGGCTCTACCAACTATATCAAGCCCCAGTTGAGCCCTCAGGTCAGCCCTGCCTCTCCTAACCAGTCCAACCTGAGGTACTGCCCACCCCCCATCCAGCCCCTCTCCGGGCTAGCAGTGCCAGCGCCAGTCACACTGAGCTGCCTCCAAATCTGAGCAGAGATAACATTCCGGGAAAAGAAACGCAATTCAAGGCCACTGCTCCTCCCAGGCTGACTAAACCATAGGCAAACACCCAAGCAGTCAGGAAAGGGAGCCTTACCACAGCGTTCACTGGAGTGGATGCTGCCCAGCGCCCCCCTGAGGGCCAAGATGATAACACCTGCAGGCCTGCTCTCCCTGGGGAACTTGTAGGAATCCTCAGGAAAGGCCCACCTCCCCACTGCAGCAGTAGGGAGGCCTCACACTAACCCATGGGGGTGCCAGGGACAGGGCCTACTGTCGCTCTACACTGTCCTACATCACACAGTGTAGACAGAAGCAAGATTCAAATCCAAGTCTATCTGAAGTCAATTCCAAGGCTCTGACAACCTACGACACAGATCAAATAGTGACCTGTCAACAGCCCAGTCTGGTGCCTGGCTTCTCCACAGAAAAGCATAATTGTTCCCCACCACCTATCAGCCAGGAGGGATCGCAACATCTGGTCCAGACCTCTGGACACCAGAAAGTAGGGCCAAGTTGTGGAAAGGAACTGCAAGTAGTGAAAAGGCCACAGCTCTAAACCCCACGGATGCTTTCTCCCACCAACCTCAAAACCAACCCGCAAGGGTTTTGGTAGACACCTGCCCAGCTGAACAGATGGGCTCAACCGCCCCCCCAACACACACACACACACACACACACACACACACACACACACACACACACACTCCCAGGGAGACTTTCTCCCGTCCCAGCCAGAAACTTCCCTCAGAGAGCAGCACTCAAACCTAAGGGCTCAATTAAAATGAAGAAAAACCCTCCGCCTTCACTTTCTGGGACTGCCTCAGCAAGATGCCTACACATCATGGTCCCATGCCTGTCACACAAAGGCAGCCAAGATAGAGAAGGTCCAGGGCCTCTCTCCTCACCCTCCAAAACATTATCTCTCAGGAAGTCCCTTTCAGCAGTCAATTCAGAGTCAACTCAGAAACACCAGTAATCACTAGCATCATTACAAAACAAAGCAGAGGTGAGTCACCACAGCCTCTCATGCTTCATCAAGAAGACCCTATACCTCAAACACTAATCTAATGAACTTTGGGGTACTTTTCTCTAATTTGCTAATTAATTTCTCTTTCTGCATAAAGTCCACATAACAATTAAAAACAAAAAGACAAAACTCGGACTCTTTGGGGGTAAGAGGACTCACTCTCTCTTCCTCCTTTTCTCAGACTGGGAGTCTGAGAAATAAAATTTCAAGTCCCAAGTCCTATTTGCCACATACTTAACCTACATGATTTCATTTAGTCCTAAAAATAACCCTGTGAGTTAAGCATGGACAACCCCATTTTACTCATGAGGAAGAGACTGCGAAACTCTATATCATGCACTGAGCAGCAGGGCAAAGATTTGACTTCATTTCATAGGACTAGTCTGCTTCCCAGACAAACCCTCAAGTCCAAATGAATTCAATTTTCTGCTTAAAAAAAGTCCTCCTTATTACCACAGTTCACTTCTGACCAATTGCTAGAGTTTCCTCCCAAACTGGATATAAAAATATTGAAGTAATTATTGGAGAAATTGAGCAAGAGCACGTAGGAGGCCTACTCTGCCAGGGTTCTGTGGAAAAATGTAAGAGTTCCTGTTGGCAGGACGCCTGCCTGCCTGCCTGCCTGCCAGGGCCCCTCACTCAGAACAACATTCTGGAAACTCTGGCATTAGAAATGAGCAGCCACCTGTCTGATAATCTTGGGAGCAACCTGTGGCTGCCTTGGGCCTGACTGCCTATGGATTACAGGTCAAAGAAAGGTCTGGGAGTAGGCTCATGCGGAGAATGCAATTACACCCACCCAAGCTCCCAGTCCAAGCTAAAACATAGGCTGGAGGTTAAGGTTCTCATCCTCCGAGCAAGATAATTCAAACTCTCCGCAGCTCCCAGAAAGGGATAACTTGGTGCTAACTGGTTATATTTCAGCCCTGCAGTCCCCAGGGTACACACCTTACTCTCACAAACACCTATGGCCCCTGGGACCGCCCAGCTCACTGAGGTTTTGGGAACCTACTAGGGTAGGAAGCAGGGGAGGAGGGCCCCAGGGCAGAGATCTCTAAACGGAGGAGGAACTGAACACAATGGTGACAACTTACTGAGGATTTACCATCATTAACGTAAACACTTGTTTAAATTACTCGCTCAAAACCTCTGGAAAAAAGTTAACCCTCGTTCAGCCAAGAGTGGTTGAACTGGAAGATCGGTTCCCATCCCCACCGGAGGCCTCATCATCCGTTCCCCAACTAGAGTGGGTTATCATGATCTGCCTTGTGGTCCCAACCAGAGTTAGCAGGGCGAAGGCTGCTCCATGTCGTAAGCAGAATCAAACTCCAAAACTTCTTGAGGTTTGGGCCAGAGCAGGGAAGTCTCCGAGGCCTTTTCAGGTTCTGGGGCCAAAGGGGCCTGCGGCTTCCCCGTACCGCCCCCGGCCTAGCTTCCAACATGACTCCAAAGGGGCTCACCTCCCAACCTCTCACCCCCGTCCAGCCCGGAACCTCTGTTTGGGATTAGGAAGTATGATCCGGAATAGGCAGGCTGGCTGTCGTGGAAGAGGGTATGGTCCGGGGGGCCCTGTCAGGGAAATCCGGTAAGAGTCCCAGTCCTTGGACTGGCGCCAACCTGAGTCCTTACCGAGCAGCGGGGACTCCTCAGGGCAAGCGGGCAGAGGCAGTGCTATGATGGGGAACTCTGGGGCCGAAGTCAGGTTGCTCGCGGGGCCGAGGCGAGAGTTCGCGTCTGGGCCGGAATCGCGACCTGGACGCGGCTGGAAGGAAGCTTCAAAAGGCGACGGAGGCGCTGTCCCTCGCGGCCGAGGCACCCCGGAGGGCTGCCTGATGGCGGCGGCGCCGTTCGAACTGCCCTGCAGAGGTGTGGGGACTCCGACCAGAAAGGGCAGGCGGCTCAGGTCGCGGCCGGCCAGGTAGTAGACGAGGGTGACGCCAAGGTGCAACGCGCAGACAGCCACGAGCAGGCGGCAGGCCCGTTGCAGGGATGCGCCCGGCATCGCAGCACCGCCGCCCAGGAGCGGCTCCCGGAACCTCATCTTCCCGCCGCCGCTTTAAGAGGGGGGTGGGCTACAGAGGGTAGGGCGGCCCG